CGGCACTCTAGCAGGGGCAACACAGTGAGACTCTGTCTCAAAAAAAAAAAAAAAAAAAAAAAACCACTCAATAAGCTACGAGTAGAAGGGAACTTCCTCAACATGATAAAGGCCATATATAAAAAACCCTCAACTATCATACTCAATGGGGAAAGGCTGAACGCTTCTCCCCTGCGATTGGAAACAGGACAAGGATGCCCACTTTTGCCACTTCTATTCAACATAGGACTGGAAGTTCTAGCCAGAGCAATTAGGCAGAAAAAAGAAATAAAAGGCATCAAAATTGGAAAGAAGTTATATTTGTCTCTGTACACAGATAACATAAACCTATATCTAAAAAACCATAAATAAACCACACACAAAAATACCCTGTTAGAACTAGTAAATGAATTCAGCAAAGTTTCAGGACACAAATCAACACCAAAAAATCAGTTTGATACCTATACGCTAGCAATGAACAAATTTTGATTTACAATATTCACCAAAAAGAATAGATAGGCTTAAATTTAACTGAGGAGGTATAAGATTTGTACATTGAAAACTACAAAACATTGCTGAAATAAACTAAAGAAGACCTAAATAAATGAAAAGACATCCCATGTTCATGGATTGGAAGACTTTATATTATTAAGATGACAACACTATCCAAGGTGATTTACAGATTCAATGCAATCCCTATCAAAATCTCAATGGCATTTTTTGCATTAATAGAAAAACCCATTCAAAAATTCATATGGAATTTAAAGGGACCTCAAATAGCTAAAACAATCTTGAAAAAGAACAAATCACATTTCCTGGTTCCAAAACTAACCACAAAGCTACAGCAATTAAAACAGTGTGGCACTGGCAAAGAGACAGACATATAGACCAATAGAATAGAATAGAGAACCCAGAAATAAACCCTTACATATATGATCAGTTGAGTTTTGACAAGGGTGCCAAGACCATTTAATGGGGAAAGGACAATCTTTTCAACAAATGTTACTGGGAAAACTGAATATCCGCATGCAAAAGAATGATATTGGACCCTTACCTTACACTATGTACAAAAATTAACTTAAAATGGATCAAAGACCTAAATGTAAGATCTAAAACTATAAAATTCTTAGAAGAAAACATAGGGAAATCTTCCTGGTGTTGGATTTGGCAATGGTTTTTTAAATATGACTCCAAAAGGGTAGGCAACAAAAGAAAAAAAGGGTAAATTGGACTTCATCAAAATTTTAAAATTTCATGCATCAAAGGACACTATCAGGAGAGTGAAAAGACAACACATAGAATGAGAGGAAATATTTGTAAATCATATATCTGATAAGGGTCTATTATCTAGGATGTATAAAGAACTCTTACAAATCAATAATCCGATTTATTACAGCTTTTTTGGAATTTGTCTAGCAGGTTTTCCGGTCCTCACCAGAAGACTACCCCCTACGCTAAAGAAAAATATTAAAAATAATACTAATAATCAGATTTGCTGGAAGGAGGGGATGAGTGTGGAGCCTGCAGCGTAGGGAGGAGGCAATCACAGTGTTCCAGGGAGAAGCAGGGAGGCCTGCACCGAAGCAGTGGCTGGGAACAGAAGGAAGGGCCTGGGTGGTTCAGCTGATATTGAGGAGGCAGAGAGAGGCAGCTGGAGCTGTTTGAGTCCTGTGCTGGCACCCAGCCTTCAGGAAGGAAAATAAGGGGGGATAAGGGAAGTGAAAGTGGCTGGGGAACTTCCTCAACATGATAAACAGGGCTGCATAAATAGGCAGCAGGCCAGTCCCAGCCCACACACAGACCCCCAACTTGCGGTTGTTCACCTCGCCACAGCTCTGCCTTCATATCACCTGAACCACAGCCATGGCTCAGTCACTGGCTCTGAGCCTCGTTATCCTGGTTCTGGCCTTCAGCATCCCTCGGACCCAAGGTACAAAGTGGGGAGGAGCCTTGGGTGGGGGCAAGGGGCTGGAGAGGCCTGGGTGGGAGCTTGCAAGCAGCTCCCGGCTCCCTGTGAATCCCATCCTGCAGGCAGTGATGGAGGGGCTCAGGACTGTTGCCTCAAGTACAGTGTAAGGAAGATTCCAGCCCAGGTTGTCCGCAGCTACCGGAAGCAGGAGCCAAGCTTAGGCTGCCCCATCCCAGCTATCCTGTGAGTGGGCACGAGGGGGTGGGTACAGTTTGGCAGCTGGGTAGGGAGGACGTGGTGGGCAAGACTAAGAAGGCTTTCTAACCCCCAACCCCCAGGTTCTCGCCCCGGAAGCGCTCTCAGCCAGAGCTTTGTGCAGATCCTAAGGATGCCTGGGTGCAGCAACTGATGCAGCATCTGGACAAGCCACGGAAAGAAGTCCAGGGCTGTAGGAAAGACAGAGGGGCCTCCAAGGCTGGCAAGAAGAGAAAAGGCTCCAAAGGCTGCAAGGGGTGAGGAATCTGAAGGGCTTGGGGGAGGGAAGCGAAGGGGGGCCTCAGTCAGCCCCTCACATTCCTCTTCTGCCTTCCTAGGACTGAGCAGGCACAGACCCCAAAAAGGCCATAGCCCAGTGACCAGCCTGGAGCCCTGCAGGCCCCCACCAGCCTCATCAGGGATCAGATCCCTAACCCAAGGGCAAGAAGGGGGCTAGGACAGAGGAAGGACTCCAGGGCCCCAGAGCAGCCACCCTATGCTGGCCTTGCCACACTCCTCCTGCTTCAACCATCCCATCTGCATTACCAGCCCTACCCTGCAAGGCTGAGCTGCCCACGCCAGGCCTGGCCCAGAGAGGCAGAGGAGGGAGAGTCTCCCAGGGAGTATGAGAGGTGGCAGCAGGACTGTCCCCTCTGAGGAGAAGCCACTCAGGACTCTGGACCTGATCTTGCTCCCCATTGCACCCGCCTCTTTCTTGTAAATATGATTTGCATCTAATTGAATAAAATGCTGTGCCAGCTTCCCACTCGAATACCTGTTCCTGTGTATTGTGTCCACAGGGATGCCAGTGTCACAACAGGGTGGGGTAACACACTCTGGGATCCCAGCCAAGAACTCAGGTGGGCTAATTCTATGTTCCCACCCACCCCAAGAGTTTCCTTGCTTCCGAGGTACCCAGACCTCTGGGCAGTAAAAGAGAAGCCGACGGACAGGGTGGGAAGTGGTCCTCTGAGGAATCCCTCCCAGTGGAGAGACAGTGAAGTCTTTCAAGAGTGACCTCCAGATGTTACCTCAGATCTCCCAGGGACTTCCTCCCCTCTCCTTGGGACTTACTGATTGAGAACCTCCAAGTACCTCTTTGGAAGGGTCCCCAGTGGTGAGGCCGTGGCCTGGACCCGTCTGCAACACAGGTAAACACAAGTTCTATTGAAACCTACCCTAGGCACAGTTCCAGCCCTGAGAGTGCCCCTGAGGGGCAAAGACCCAAGAGGACCCCTTTAGCCCTGTTCAGTAATGCTGGGTCCCCTGGCCTCCTCTTTGTTTAATGAGACTGCTGTGCTCTCTTTCTACTCCCCTCCGGGCCCCTCAGCTCCCCCAGCTTCCTTCCAGTTGGGAAAACCTCCTCCCTTTTTCTTTTTTTCCCCTTTCTTGTCTGGCTGGGACCCAGGATACTTGAGCCCCTTAAAACTCTTGAAGCCAAGGAATAAGCCCACCAGGCAGGCCTTTGGAACCCCAGGACTTAGATGTAAATCAGTCTCCAAGACCCCAACCTGGCTCTCCTCTACATCCTCCTCCCTGGGCAGGGAGAGAGAAGACTGTTGGATGAGCCCAGGCAACATAGGGAGGAAAGGAACAGATCCTACGGGACGGTGGGGAAGGCAGGGACCGAAGAAGCTAGAAGGGGCTACTCCTCCACGTCTTCCTTCCGTGGCAGACTGAGGGAGCCACAGCACTTACCACTTATCATAAGATCATTAAAGTATTTGCTTATCTGCTCCTCTTGAGGCTGGAGAAGACAGGGACTCCTCCCTTCCTAGCCTTGTAAAATTAATCTAAAAACTCAGATATGCAAAAAATACAGCATTTTAAAATGTTCTTTAAATGAACTTAATTTCTACTCCAAGCCCCTGTTCTAGGATGCTGGTAGAAAGTCAACATCAGGCAGTCTTGGGGAACCCCATCTGCTAAGAGCTATGCAAAGGTCATAGGGCAGGCCTCCTACCTGCCCCTCGCACCACCCCATCACTGGACATCAGCCTCACCAGTGAGTGGTCTGCAGTGCTCCCCGCGGGTATGTCTCTTCAGGTCCTGGACTCCCGAGCCCCCGGCTTTGTGCCGCATTTGAGACATGGATATTCAGATACGAGAGCCTTTGGCCTTGGACTTGGCCTCCCCTAGACACCCCCAAAACCTTCTACTTAGAGTCCTGTCACTTGCTCCATCACAGCCAGAAATGAGAGCTCAGTTTGCCCGCTGGCTGGACCTACGCACCAATACCCTCCATGGTCTTAAAGAATTCTCTCCTTCTCCCCAGCCCTCCCTCTCCCCAGCCCCTCCAGGGCATAACTTCTTCCCAGATTTACTTTAGACTTTTTTTTTTTTTTTGAGACAGAATCTCACTGTGTTGCCCGGGCTAGAGTGCCGTAGCGTCATCCTAGCTCACAGCAACCTCAAACTCCTGGGCTCAAGCGATCCTCCTGCCTCAGCCTCCCGAGTAGCTGGGACTACAGGCATGCACCACCATGCCCGGCTAATTTTTTCTATGTATTTTTAGTTGTCCGATTAATTTCTTTCAATTTTTAGTAGAGACAGGGTCTCGCTCTTGCTCAGGCTGGTTTCGAACTCCTGAGCTCAAACAATCCGCCCACCTCGGCCTCCCAGAGTGCTAGGATTACAGGCGTGAGCCACCGCGCCCGGCCTACTTTAGACATTTTTGAAAGGCAGAAGGGCCTTTGACATCAGGATGCCCCTGCTCTTGGCCCTGCCAAAACCCTTCCCTGCTCTAAAGTGAAATGAAATAGGCAGAACAAACAAAGCTTCATATTTCGCTAAAATCTCCCATCACACTCGCATCCTGTTACTGGCCTCAGCCCTGCTCTTAGCAGCATGCACTACAGTATTTACTCCATCCCGGAATTAGTGGCCACTCTCCTTGCCTGCCTTCCTCTTTGACAACGGTTGTCCTGTTCTTTTGTCTTTCTGCAATCCTTTGCAGTCCCAGTCTTAGCCAGTGATTTATCATTTTTATGGATGCTGAAATTGCCAATCCTCTTTTTCTAACACCTAGATTTGTACTTATTCTAGTGGTGTCTACTCCACAATTCCCTTACAGAGACTGTTAGCTATGTCAAGGCTCAGAAAGCTTCATTCTCTTCAAGACATCTGTTTCTCAGTGGGTGGCAAACTAAAACACCTCAGAGAAACTCTGTTGCCATGTTCTTTAAGATTTTCGCTTTGGCTGGGTGCAGTGACTCACTCCTGTAATCCTAGCACTCTGGGAGACCCAGGAGGGTGGGGATCCCTTGAGGTCTGGAGTTAGAGACCAGCCTGAGCAAGAGTGAGACGCCCCATCTCTACTAAAAATAGAAAAATTAGCCAGGCGTGGTGGCATGCTGTAGTCCCAGCTACTTGGGAGGCTGAGGCAGGAGGATCGCTTGAGCCCAGGAGTTTGAGGTTGCTGTGAGCTAGGCTGACGCCTTGGCACTCTAAAGCCATAGATTTGGATAATAATAAATTTCAGTCTAATATTAGGAGAAAAACCGGACACCGCTTGTGACCACCTGAGCAGCCGGCGCCTATTCAGAACGCGCCTGCACCAAGGGAAACCCCTTCGGCTGGAAGCCCCGCGTCGCCCAGCTCCGCCACCAGGAGGCGGCAGCATCGCCGCGGTCCTCTGTCCGCTAAAAGCAATCAGCAAGCTCGAGGGTTGGATTTTCTGTTTGCATTTCCTTCATCTTTCTGGGACCCATTTTTTAAAACTATTTTTATTATTTGTCCTCGAATGTGTCTTATGCTAGGCCAGAGGTGTAGCGTTTTCCTGTGTTCATTTATGAGCAAGACAAACTCCTTTCTGCCTGTGTCAGGCTCATCGTCCGCACCGAGATCGCGCCCAGCGCACAGGCTGTCAATAAACCTCCGTGGAATAAAGAAACCTTCTCTTAGAACTGGCGCCGTAACTCGTGGTTTATAATATCAATCGGTGCGGGTTATTTACGAAGCGAAGGAAGTGCCCGAGGTGATCCTTCCTTCAACCTTTAAGCCAAACATTATTTCATGTCTTCAACATTTGGCTCCTTGGAGTCCGGGTAAATTGGCGATATTTGGGGTGAGGATGGGGAGATAAATGCCTCTTATTCGGGGACAAACACGGGCCTTCGTCCGCCCATCCCTGCCCCCAACTCCCTGCCCGGGTGAGTACACACGGGTCCCAGGGGCATGCAGGGTAGGGATGTGGCGGGAGCGCGGTTGTCCTACTCCCGAGGTGACCACTGCCCCGGGACGTCAGGAGCCTGCGCCAGCCCAGGTGCCCGGAGGTGTGGGCACCACCAACAGCGCGCGGGAACCCGGGGGCTGGCGGGGTCAGAGAGCTAGGAGGGCACCAGAAGCTGTCCCCGGTCCAGGGACTTTGGACGCCAACGCCCCTGCCAGCCTCTCGGAGGAGCTGGCGGGGTCGGAACCGCATCCGCCCACCCCAGCGGGGGAGCCTCGCGGCGCTCCAGAGCCTCCCTTCCCAGGCTCGGGGCGCCCCCTGCAGGCCTAGCGGGGAGACACATCAGGCACACAGGCTGACACACCAACACACATCCCCCACACACCCTCGCACACCCCAGTCGCGTACAGCCCCACGGACGCAGCTCAGGAAACGCACGTTCATGCATTCAACAAACCCTTACCAAGCATCTAGTCTGGGTCCTCTCCCCACAATCATTCACGCCCCTTCACCCCCACCCACCATGGACTTGGTTGACTTCTCAGGCCCAGCTGTCCCCTCCCCGGCCGCAATGGCTAGGGCGCCCTCCATTCGAGATCTCCTACCACGGGGGCAGGGATGTGGCCCGACTAGGGAGCACGAAAGCCTCCTTGGAGGTGGATTGGGGCTAGGCTGGGCAGAGCTGGGCTAAGCTTAGCTGAGCTAGGACAAGATGTCCCAGGGTTTACGCTGAACCAGGAGCCCCACGGAGGCGACATGGCGGGCAAGAGGGTGAAGGAGGTGAAGCATGTAGCACTGGGGGCTCCGTGCATGTGGTCAGAAACTGCTTCAAACCTATTATATTCCTATTTCCCTGACCTCCAGGCCCCCGCACCAGCCTCCACCCCCACTGGATTGTCTAAACCAGTGGCTAGGGGTTGGTGTCTTAAATCCTGCACCAAAGGGGCCTGTGTCCTTTCCCGTTTTGCCGTGATAGTGAGTAACTTCATAACACTCTGAAGGCCGCCTCCTTCCCTAATTCCTCCTCGCCTTCTTGACAATGTTGGGGAGCCCCAGGACTTAGAACTTGGACCTCTTCGATCTACACTCGCTCACTGAGTGATCTCATTGTCTTATGGCTTTAAATACCATCCATATGCTTCCAAATTTGTATCTTCAGCTAGACCCTCTCCCCTGAACTCCAGACTCATACCAACTACCTACTTAACACGTCCACGTATATGTCCAACATGTAGCTTCGACTTAAGTCAATACCAGGGTCCTGATCTCCCCACAAACCCACTCTTCTGCAGTCATCCACATCTTAGTAAATAAAATTCTGTCCATCGAGTTGTTCAAGCCAAAAACCTTGCAATATTCTTGCCTCCTCTTCTCTCATATGAACCCCTCAGCAAAGCCCACTGGCTCTACCGTGTTTCCAGAATCAGGCTTCTCACCGACTCCAAGCACAATCATCTCCTCCCTGGATTATTGCAACAGTCTCCGCCCTGGTCTCCCCACTTCCATTCGGGCACCACGTGGGTCTATTCTCCACTCGGTAGCTAGACAGAGCCTTTGAAAATGTAAGTCAGATCATGTCACG